GGCCTCTTCTCGTGCGGGGTCGAAGTTCAAGACCATCACTTCTTTGAACTTTGGGAACTTGTTCTGAAGAAAGATAAACGAATTCTATGTTYATAAACTATTGTATTCTTGACYAAAAAGGCCAATCATTATTGGACTATCATTTACCTTGACCTTCTGTACGTCCTCGCCTTGTTTTCGGGCGTGAGTGGTCTCTCGTTTCTAAACGACCTCGTCTAGTTTTTGGTCGTATTTCCTGSSRGTATCGTTTCTCCTGGTCGTTCGGACCACCTTCTGGAGCGATAGAAGGCAAGCGTATTACTAAAAAACGGTAAAACTGGTACTGAATTATAGTATTTTCAGACTCTCGTTTACCTGTACCTTCCGTACGTCGACGCGTTGTTCGCGATCGTGAATGCTGCCTCGTTAATGGTCTTATTTCCTGGTAACGTGTTGCATGTGAAGAAGTAGCTGCTGCTTCACTTGCTTRGGCCTCAGCATCGTGTGGTTGTCTCTCCACGGCCTCATCATCCGCTGCCTCTAGGATATCTTCCATGATTTTTAATTCGTCGTTGTCGTAACGAATTGCGGTGTTATCACCTGCATTTCCTTGGCCTGAAACTGTAATTACAAAATGATACAAAGGAGAAAAAATAGTCGAATCTCAGTTAAATATATAGACGATATTACATGGGCCCGCAGAAATACGGATTTTATCTTCGAGTGTTGAAAAGATTTTCAACAGGAGAAGATAACATTCATATCTCCAAGCGACCATGTAATATTCTGTTTATCATACAATTACAATTATGTCGTAAAATACATTTTTTCTTACTTCCACTATATAGAGAAACCTCGAATGTGTTATTTTCACTAGAGTTATTTTCACTTTTCACTAGTGAAAATAACATGTTATTCATTATTCTGTGTTTAAAAGAAAACATTTGAAACACTATGTATAGAATCCATTTACCTTGAACGTCCTCAGTTCTATTCATCTCCGAACGGCTTGGAAGCGAAACTTGTCTCTGATGCGAACGTTTTCTTATTGGCTTTGAAGAAGAAATTTCATCTATTTGATTAATTAGGCGATCGGCCTCCTCCAAATCTGAAGGGAACGCTGCTTCTTCACTTGCTTCCATTCGTCGTTGGATATTGCCTTCATTGACACGGAATCCCATTTGTGATTTTAGATTTCGAAGTGAAAACTCTGTTTAATTGGTAAAGTGATTTGCTTATAATTGTTATTATTATTTTTTGACTTAAGAGCAAAGCCGTGAAACACTATGTATCAATATATTTACCTTGAACTTCATCACGTTTAGTCATCTCTGGACGGTTTGGAAGCGAGTCTTGCACCTGATAAGGACGACTTCTTTTATGTTTTGGCGAAGAAATAGCGTCTATTTCATCTATCAGCCTGTCCGCTTCGACGAGCTCTTCTGCTGCTTCTTCGATAGCTGRTTCCAGTTGTCGTGAGTTGCTGCCTTCATCGGCATGGAATCCCATTCTCGATTTTGGACGTGGAAGAAGTTGAAAGTCTGTTTGATTGGTAAAATAATGTAGCTTATATTTTTATTTTTATTTTTAACTGAAAATCAAAGCCGTGAAACACTACTTATCCATTTACCTTGAACGTCTTCCTGTTTCGTAATCTGAGGACTGCTTGAAAGCGAGTCTTGTCCCTGATCAGAACGGCTTCTTCCAGCTTTCGGAGAAGAAATTTCATCCTGCAACTCTGATGCAAACGCTGCGTCTCCGCTTGCTTCCAATGTTTCGTTGTTATCACTGACATGGAATCTCACTCCTGAGTTTTCGCGCTCAAGTTGGAAGCCATCAGCTTCTTCTTCGGACTCAGAACTCGTTGACATGTAGTCTTCAATGTCGAATGAATTATCTGTGTCCTCCTCAAATCGTGAATCGTTATTGCAGAATTCTTGTTCAACAACAGAAACAACTTTATATTACTTACATTATTATATATCAAATCATTTGCTGTCTGTTTGTTCAGTTCTTACCTCCCTCATTGACGACCCCAGGAGGCAAAGGTCTACATGTAGCTAAGSCAGCCTCTATGTCTCCMTCCACGGGTGTTTCSATGCGGTCACGTAACCGGTAGTCCCTCAGGATATTCTCAATCATAACTGTATTTGAATCTCGTTGGTCGTCAATATGTGCATCACCTACAGAATGATAACCAGGGAATTGCAATGAGCTGAATCTCTATTAAAATTTTGGACTTGTGTAACTTGATCTTCCCTCTATACTTAGCTTTGGTTCACGTTTTATATCTATTCACGTTATTTGTGTCAAACCTCTCTATTTTAGACTAATTATTAATTCATTCGCGGTATTTATTTGCGCCTGAAACTTCTATATTGCTGTGTACGGTCCATACAACCGGCTCCTTGAACAACAATAGAAACGTGATAAACTCAGTTGCTTCTCAGTCGTGTCTAAATGTGTTCAATTCTTACCTCTCCCATGGAAGACCCCAGCAGGCATAGGTCTAGCTATGGGAAGATCTGTGTCGTCATCGGGTGTTGCGCTCAGACGGACGCGTTGCTGGTCGTCTCTCAAAATATCTTGAATCATATCCAATTCGTCTTGGTCGTCAGTTCCGCCGTCTAAAAATGAAACAATGTAATTTTACTGAGCTGCAACTCACTTGAAAGTATGAAGTTTATATAATTTGATCTTCCCTCTAGACTTGGATTGGTGTATTGTTTGCATTTGTACGACAGATATATTTCAAACTCATATATTTTAMATTATAATGACACATTGATTTATAGCATTTTATTAGATTAGTGTTTACCTCGACCATCAATAGGTCTTGTGTCTGCATTGTCCATATCGGAAGACGATGAATCTTCGCTTGTTTCGGAATCATCATCGACTTCCTCCAGTCCATCAGCATTAGCGTCATCTGGTACATCAGCGTTAGGTCTCCAGTTAGGATCCTTGAACAACAACAGCAACAACTTCATTGTACTTTGTGTATTTAAACATGCAATTTATAGAATCAAGGTTCACTCTAATATGAACCCAGACTACTGATTGTTCACTTCTAACCTTTCTGATGGAAGTCCCAAGCAAGCAGAGGTCAGCGGTGAGTTCAATTTCATCTTCCGCTGCAGCATRCATCTCTTGACGCTGCTGGTCTTCCTTGAGAATMTCCTGTAGGAGTTTTGATTCTTCCTCATCAAAAAGGCTTGAGAAAGAATCATTCTTTGGTTGTGGCTCTGCGGCATCCATCTCTTGACGTTGCCGGTCTTCCTTGAGAATGTCCTGAAGGAGTTTTGATTCTTCCTCATCAAAAAGGCTGGAGAAAGAATCATCCTTTGGTTGTGGCTCTGTGGCATCCAAACCTACAAAATAATACAAATATTGATGCAAATATTGTGTAGAATTTGTACTTCAAATAATGTGTTGCAAGGATTCCTGTAGACTCAGCATCAATTTAAGGATTTATGTTTTGTAATAATGGATTACAAAATAATTGGTTATTTCGGATGCTGATATCGATTTTGTTTTTGACCTACAGACCTTAAGCTAATGGTAAACCCAACGAATGTACCATTGTGCAAGACTTTCTACATGAATCCATCTACAATTTTTCATATATAATTGATATAGATATCGTTGTTCGTCTACCTTCAACTTTCTTTGACTTCGTCTCCAGTGAGTCGTCGACTGACTGCGCAGTTTCATCATCTGTTTTCATGGTGTCACTCCCCTGCAACAGCCTGCTCGCTTCACCAAGATCACTAGAGCTAGTGACGGAGTCATCCCAGTTTGAGGAATCAATGGAAATGGCGCTGTCAACCTGTTTCGTTGACTCGTCAACTCGAATCAACTCGGGCTCTTGAATTTCCTGTTTCACTTCAGACGTAGAGGAAGTTACATCTTCGTCCGACTTGTCCTGTAAATCTGTTGTAGCATTCTTTATTGCTTCGGTGACTTTTGGACTCCAATCATCGCAGGTGTGGTCAAAGAACGAAGACAGTGTAGATCTACTGTCAGATAGTGATTCTCCAGCGCTAATGTTCACGTTCACCACTGGACGTGGGAGGCTGGTAGCTGACTCTTTTTTGGGTGGATTACAGTACAGTTGTTTAAGACTTTTCTCCGTAACATCGGGTGTGGCAAGCTTGTTCAAGTCCGCTTCTACTTTTTTGGCCCAAGTTTTTGCTTTTGGCTCCTTAACGGCTGCAGGGCTGATGTTGATATTAAAATCTGATTCCTTTGCATTTGGTCGAAAGCAAGACAGACACTTTCCCATGTGTTTGAATTATTATTTTCCTGTTATAACTATTTTACTTCTTGAATGAATGAAAAATTGTGCGATACTAATTTAACACGTCACAATACATGGTATTTACGTCACTAATTTCGCGCGCGCTGAATTGCTTGCGCATGCGCTGTTTTGCGCGTGCACAGAGACCCGTTTCTTGTGGTCAGCGGTGAACCTCACTCATGGTATTATTTGCACATAATCGTGTTTTTTTTTCGAGAGAACTAACAAAAAAAAAACGATAATAGAATTTGAAAAAAGCAACCTCTGCAACGCTGGTAAAGATCAAATTCACTTTTTATTGTAGGATCCTTTGATCCACTTTTCTAACAATTACAAATCAAAACTAATGCAGCACAATTTTTATTTCATTTTCTGTACGTGCGTGGTTCGCTTTCATTATCAATCTAGATTTCCTGTGAAAATACGTACAAAGTACGGGTTGAAAAGGCTTAATAAAGCGAAACTGGTGTCCGTAAAATTCCTGCTTGAAATGCTTGTGAAAGACAGAAGAAAAGTTAAACTTCAGATACTTACACAACATGAGATGTGAAAATACTGTTATCAAATTTTGTGTAATCGTGTATTGATAGCGGTTTTCTTTTTCAGGGAGGAGACAGAGATCATTGAAGGAGAAGTAGTCGAGATCCAAATTGACAGACCTGCTTCTGGAACGGTAAGTACAAGTATTATAACTCGATAGAAGAAAGTAACTGTTTCACGCTTTTTATTAAGCTTTCTATCTGAAAACCTTCAGAGTGTTAGAATTGTATATGGGCTTTTATCCCTTTATCGAGCGGAATGATAAGACGTCGATAATAAGTCGATATCCGTCCTAATTNTCGAAGTGAAAACTCTGTTTAATTGGTAAAGTGATTTGCTTATAATTGTTATTGTTATTTTTTGACTTAAGAGCAAAGCCGTGAAACACTATGTATCAATATATTTACCTTGAACTTCATCACGTTTAGTCATCTCTGGACGGTTTGGAAGCGAGTCTTGCCCCTGATAAGGACGACTTCTTTTATGTTTTGGCGAAGAAATAGCGTCTATTTCATCTATCAGCCTGTCCGCTTCGACGAGCTCTTCTGCTGCTTCTTCGATAGCTGCTTCCAGTTGTCGTGAGTTGCTGGCTTCATCGGCATGGAATCCCATTCTCGATTTCGGACGTGGAAGAAGTTGAAAGTCTGTTTGATTGGTAAAATAGTGTAGCTTATATTGTTATTTTTATTTTAACTGAACATCAAAGCCGTGAAACACTATTTATCCATTTACCTTGAACGTCTTCCTGTTTCGTAATCTGAGGACTGCTTGAAAGCGAGTCTTGTTCCTGATTGGGACGTCTTCCAGCTTTTGGAGAAGAAATATTATCGATTTGAATTATATCCTCCGTCTCTGATGCAAACGCTGATTCTCCGCTGGCTTCCAATGTTTCGTTGTTATCAGTGCCCTGGAATCCCACTTCAAGTTGAAAGCCATCAGCTTCTTCTTCGGACTCAGAACTCGTTGACATGTAGTCTTCAATGTCGAATGAATTATCTGTGTCCTCTTTGAACCGTGAATCGTTATTGCAGAATTCTTGTTCAACAACAAAAACAACTTTGTATTACTTACATTATTATATATCAAATCATTTGCTGTCTGTTTGTTCAGTTCTTACCTCCCTCATTGACGACCCCAGGAGGCAAAGGTCTACATGTAGCTAAGGCAGCCTCTATGTCTCCTTCCACGGGTGTTTCCATGCGGTCACGTAACCGGTAGTCCCTCAGGATATTCTCAATCATAACTGTATTTGAATCTCGTTGGTCGTCAATATGTGCATCACCTACAGAATGATAACCAGGGAATTGCAATGAGCTGAATCTCTATTAAAATTATGGACTTGTGTAACTTGATCTTCCCTCTATACTTAGCTTTGGTTCACGTTATATCTATTCACGTTATTTGTGTCAAACCTCTCTATTTTAGACTAATTATTAATTCATTCGCGGTATTTATTTGCGCCTGAAACTTCTATATTGCTGTGTACGGTCCATACAACCGGCTCCTTGAACAACAATAGAAACGTGATAAACTCAGTTGCTTTTCAGTTGTGTCTAAATGTGTTCAATTCTTACCTCTCCCATGGAAGACCCCAGCAGGCATAGGTCTAGCTATGGGAAGATCTGTGTCGTCATCGGGTGTTGCGCTCAGACGGACGCGTTGCTGGTCGTCTCTCAAAATATCTTGAATCATATCCAATTCGTCTTGGTCGTCAGTTCCGCCGTCTAAAAATGAAACAATGRYATTTTACTGAGCTGCAACTCWCTTGAAAGTATGAAGTTTATATAATTTGATCTTCCCTCTAGACTTGGATTGGTGTATTGTTTGCATTTGTACGACAGATATATTTCAAACTCATATATTTTAMATTATAATGACACATTGATTTATAGCATTTTATTAGATTTGTGTTTACCTCGACCATTGATAGGTCTCGTGTCTGCATTGTCCATATCGGAAGACGATGAATATTCGCTTGTTTCGGAATCATCATCGACTTCCTCCAGTCCATCAGCATCAGCGTCATCTGGTACATCAGCGTTAGGTCTCCAATTAGGATCCTTGAACAACAACAACAACAACTTCATTGTACTTTGTGTATTTAAACATGCAATTTATAGAATCAAGGTTCACTCTAATATGAACCCAGACCACTGATTGTTCACTTCTAACCTTTCTGATGGAAGTCCCAAGCAGGCAGAGGTCAGCGGTGAGTTCAATTTCATCTTCCGCTGCAGCATCCATCTCTTGACGCTGCTGGTCTTCCTTGAGAATGTCCTGAAGGAGTTTTGATTCTTCCTCGTTAAAAAGGCTGGAGAAAGAATCATCCTTTGGTTGTGGCTCTGCGGCATCCAAACCTTAAAAAATAATACAAATATTGATGCAAATATTGTGTAGAATTTGTACTTCAATTAATGTGTTGCAAGGATTCCTTTCGACTTAGCATCAATTTAAGGATTTATGTTTTGTAATAATGGATTGCAAAATAAATGGTTATTTCCGATGCTGTAATCGATGTCCATTTGCGATTTTGTTTTTGACCCATAGACCTTAAGCTAATGGTAAACCCAACGAATGTACCATCTTCATTGTGCAAGACTTTCGACATGAGTCCATCTACAAATTTTCACATAATTGATATAAATATCGTTGTTCGTCTACCTTCGACTTTGTTTGACTTCGACTCCAGTGATTCGTCGACTGACTGCGCAGTTTCATCATTTGTTTTCATGGTATCACTCCCCTGCAACAGCCTGCTCGCTTCACCAAGATCACTAGAGCTAGTGACGGAGTCATCCCAGTTTGAGGAATCAATGGAAATAGCGCTGTCAGCCTGTTTCGTTGGCTCGTCAACTCGAATCAACTCGGGCTCATGAATTTCCTGTTTCACTTCAGACGTAGAGGAAGTTACATCTTCGTCCGACTTGTCTGTTGTAGCATTCTTTATTGCTTCGGCGACTTTTGGACTCCATTCATCGCAGGTGCGGTCAAAGAATGAAGACAGTGTAGATCTACTGTCAGATAGTGATTCTCCAGCGCTAATGTTCACGTTCACCAGTGGACGTGGGAGGCTGGTAGCCGACTCTTTTTTGGGTGGATTACAGTACAGTTGTTTAAGACTTTTCTCCGTCACATCGTGTGTGGCAAGTTTGTTCAAGTCCGCTTCTACTTTTTTGGCCCAAGTTTTTTGTTTTGGCTCCTTAACGACTACTGGGCTGATGTTGATATTAAAATCTGATTCCTTTGTACTTGGTCGAAAGCAAGACAAACACTTTCCCATGTGTTTGAATTATTATTTTCCTGTTGTAACTATTTTACTTCTTGAATGAATGAAAAATTGTNTTTTCTATCTTACAAGTGTTAGAATTGTATATGGACTTTTATCCTTTATCGAGCGGAATGATAAGACGTCGATAATAAGTCGATATCCGTCCTAATTTCCTCTTAGTGTTTGTCATAAATGTCAGATGTCAACATAAATTGGCGTGTTCTTTTACAGGGAGCCAAAGTTGGTAAACTGACACTCAAGACAACAGAGATGGAAACCATTTACGATTTGGGTACAAAGATGATTGAATCTTTGACTAAAGAAAAAGTACAAGCAGGGTAAGAATATATCTTTTTTTTCCTTTTCTTTTGTTTTTGTTTTCTTCTCTTTTTTGTTTTGTTTGTTTGTTTTTTTTCTTTTCATTGTAGGTGACGTAGAAGCTGATTATGAAAATAAGCAAACAAAGACAAAATTAATAATACAAATTAATTGTTGTCTTTAGTGATATTATTACCATTGACAAAGCAACTGGTAAAGTGTGTAAACTTGGTCGATCCTTTACTAGAGCCAGGGACTATGATGCAATGGGGGCTGAGGTAAAATTATAATAAATTATAATACATTAGTAAGTTTTCCTCTGAATAAATCGACAAAAATAGCTCAGTGGTCTATTATTTTGCTTACTTCTTTTACTTTTGATTATTTTAAAATCGCTATCTACGATTGTGAAAACAAAAATGCAACTCTCAAGAACAGACTATTTCCAAAACAAGACAAACGATCGCAAAGCATCTCGGGACTTCCTTCCTTTTCCTAATCGGTTCTTGCATTTTAGACCAAGTTTGTGCAGTGTCCAGAGGGTGAGCTACAGAAGAGAAAAGAAGTGGTACATACCGTTACCCTTCACGAAATAGATGTTATTAACAGCAGGACACAAGGGTTCCTGGCCCTCTTTGCAGGTAATTCATCTTTCTATAACATTTAGCTTTCTGTAAAGTAAGTACATTGTTTTTTTGTTTTTTTTTTGCACTGATTCCGTTATAACGAACGGAGGTGGCTTAATCAGTAATCGCGGTTCCTTTGTAACTACATGCTTGTACTGTCAACTCTCGCTATTACGGACACCCTCGGAACCGTAATTTAGTGACCGAAGTAGCAAAAGTCCGTAATAACGGAGTTCCTTCAGTTATTTCTTTGTATTTTTCGATGGGGAATCAGTATTTTATTGTCCGCAATATCGAGGCGTCAGTTTTGTAGCGGGGTGTCGGTAAGGTGAGAGTTGACTGTACTGTTCTCGCAGCGCTACAGATTTTGAACTAGGTATATTCCTTTGTATCTTTCTATGGGATCTTACTATACGCATGTAGCCTGCGTACATCTATGTTTACTTTGCTTGTTGTGATCTTCAGGTGACACTGGTGAAATCAAAGGTGAAGTCCGAGAACAGATCAATGCCAAGGTGGCAGAGTGGCGAGAAGAAGGCAAAGCCGACATTGTACCTGGGGTAAAATATAAGCTATAGATAACGCTATTGCATTGGACTAGAGCGAATACAGGAAACCCATGGGAAAAAGCTTAGATGACTGCTAAAAGTAGATATTTAGAGACAAATTTTCAGTATCGCTCTTGTAGGACGCAATCATAAAACGCTATCATAACATCCTCAGACAGTAACCCATTGCTCATGTGCATTCAACTTTGTCTAAAACTAAGCTTGTGCTCGGTGGATTCTCTCACAATGCGCAATGCATCAATGGAAGGAACCATTAACACCTCACACAGCGTAGTCGAAAAGGACTGAAAACTTCGTACGGGTCTATCTAAATGCATCATTCACGTGGGGATGAGAGATTAAGCACCGAGAAATATGCGCTTTGTAAAATATTCGGACTCGTGTGGTTGATACTTCATTGATGTATCTCTATCTTTAGGTTTTGTTCGTAGACGAGGTCCATATGTTGGACATTGAGTGCTTCTCGTTTCTTAACCGAGCTCTTGAAAGTGACATGGCGCCTGTCTTGATAATGGCAACAAACAGAGGAATCACAAAGTAAGTGAATTAATAACCACATATTACGACCAACCCGTTATAACGACCAGGATATAATTTTCCGACAAATCAAATCCCCGTACTTTCTTACTGGGTCAAAACGGATATCTCATTAAAACGGTCAGCCTTCGATGTACATCTTTTCCCGGATTAAGGAGGTTCTGCTTTAGCTGACTTCAATGAGGTTTAAGTTCGCATTCGTTCAATCCCCGTTTATTGCTTTACGAACAAAACGCTTGTTTTCCATATTTTCCCCGTGATACTGTTCCGGCACAGAAAGACGATTGTTGAGATTCTCAGCTCTTCCAAACATATTGCAGMCATACATAGGACAACATTTTTTTTTCCTGGCAGAAGTATAAGCGCTCTTCTGAATAGACCTAGTCTCTCTTAGTTAGTTGACAGACTGATCTGTTCTATGTTGTATTTTAATTAAACATTAAAATGTTTTATCAATTATTAGAATTCGTGGTACAAACTACAAGAGCCCCCATGGTATTCCACTTGATCTGCTTGACCGTCTTCTTATCATCTCTACATCTCCTTATGAAGAAAAAGAACTACGGCAAATCCTTTCTATCAGGTTCGCATATAGTACATTCTTTTGGGACAGTGGGAGGGGTAGGTGAAAATGCAGAAAGAACTACGGCAAATACTTTCTATAGGGTTCGTAAATAGAACATTCTCTTAGGACAGAGATAAATAGATAAATGTGCGGCAAATCCTTGCCGTATGTGTTTCATG